CAACAGACAATGACCAAACCTATTCCGGATTTTGGCTTCACTTTGGCGATAATTTGGCCTCGCTTTGGTTGTGGCAGACTCTGTCATTATTTTGGTCGCATTTTGACATTTCACATGTTGACAGACATGATTAACAAACCATATCCTACTGAGGACACAGATNGATATGGTTCTGTGACCGAAATGTTTGCTGGGTATATGCATGTTATACATATTTATACAATTGCGTGCAATTAATCTCACTCACAAGATGCTCTTATGAAATAGCTCTCGCTCGACTTACGGCCGATTTCTTCATATCTCTCGATAGCTATCCTCTGGATAAATTCCTCTGAGAACCAATTTTGGAAGATATCTTCTAGATAAAGTTATCGAAAACTTATCTAGAAATGAAAAAATTGGCTGTTATCAAAAGAACAATTTATTGATGGAATTTACGGACGTTTGTGGATGCGGATTGTCAAATGTTCTCGTGGCCTCCATTGTTCAAACTATGACGTAATTACCGTGACTTGCAAACGGCCCATTCGAACAATCCCGCCACCAACTTGTCTTCTTGTGGCGTGCTCGTAAATAACACGAATAACAAAATTTTGCGCGGAACTATTTGTTTCTTTATAAAGAAATAAACATATATTTTTTTGTGCAAAAAAACGCATGTAGATTACATCAATATAGATTACATTCGTAAAATATATGCCGGACGGTTTTTTTATTCAATGCAAAATCATATTAACAAATTTGAATTGAAAAATATGAAGTTTTCGTAGCGTGTCACACATTGCTATGATTTCGTGTTGAAAAAAAAATCGTGTCCGGTATGTTTTTGCGAGTATTTCTACCGAGTACACGTGCGTTCATACAGAAATATTCTTATTTTCACAAAACGTGCATGAAACTGGCAAGTTTTCTTGCTTCTGACGTCATAGAATTCAAGATGTTCGCGAGATATTAAAGAGCTTTTACATGGTATATATATAACTTGTTTTTTTTTTGACGTGTTATATAACGTTCTAACGCTTAATCTAATTGCTCTACTGACGCGCATATTTTCTTTTCTGTGATAATACCAGAAATAATCTGATAGCAAAAATGATTCAATGCAGAGAAACATGACTCTACTAAACTGGTAGAAAAATGTAAAATTTTTTATTTTTTTACGTTTGGCTTCTGTGTTTTTTTTTTTTGTATTAAAACCATAAAAAAAAAATATATATACTGTCTACTGTTCTTCTTCGAAATATATACTGTCTTCAATGAGAGAAAGGTCCGCGGTCTGCACATAGGGGTGGAATAGTGGGCAGAGTGGGGAGAGCGTTGTGCGCTACGCAACGATTTATGTCGACGATAATTGCACTCAAACAATTGCGTTTTTTGTAATTTTGAGTTCGAACGTACGCCCATACACCACTTTGCTATTTACAGAATAATAACGGGCACTGATACTTGCACGAATAGTACAGCGCTGAGGAGTGGAGGGCTTTCTCCGAGTCCCGTCGGAGAGGCGATGTCGCAGAAAAGTGACACTTTGTGAGCACGGGTAACATTGTCTTAAAAACTTCACAAAGCGACGAAATCACAGAAATATCAAAGAAAATACAGGAACAGGTAAATTGCCATCTCGTATTTTGTTTTTTTATGTGTGAAAATATCGTAAGAAACTTAGTGAAAAAAATATTAGGTCTGTTCTATTGTTGTTTACACACACACACACATATGAACTTTTTCCAGCTGAGTATAGCAAGGAAACCACCAGTAGGATCAGTTGAAACCATCTTTCGATCTACTTCAAGCTCTCAAGATTTAAACTATAATTTGAGTAATCAATCGATGAATTCTCATATCTCGGAAACTCATGTATATAAATTTATCAGTCCAAAACCTTCGGATAGTGCACTCCCACAACTCGCTCCGCGAACTCTGAAAGATAATAATATTGCTCCTCGTGAAAATAAATTCAAGTATTCTGATTTGGATTCGGATATCGATGAAATATTACAGATAGAATAAATCATTGTATAACTTAATTTAAAACATAGTTGGATTATGCATCGTTTATACACCGTACACAGCGCAGTTCTTTCTTTTCTGTAGGTATGTTATTGTTAATATA